GCCTATGTACGTTGTTCCACAGAAACAAGTAAATGAGTATGCAGAGAATGAGACCGCAGAGTCTGGAACTTTGTCCTTCAGTCGCAAACACACATTTGGCCTGGACGTGAACAACAGACGAAGTTTAGATGCATAGAAAGTCTTATCGATTGCGTCAGATAATCTTCTTTGTATGACCTCGGCTGATCTGTCCCCTCTGAACGGTAAAGCAATGTACACGGATTTTTTCTTAACCTCGGTGTTTTGTAAAGAGTTTTCCGTGCCCTGAATCATCTTGCTGACTAAACGCTCCGGATATCCGTTAAGTGCAAAGATCGATTTTACAGTANCAGTACGGAGCTCTTCTTCTAGCGTGTCCTCACTGCAGATCTTTCTTGCCCTATGCCCTATGCGCTAGACAGCGAACCAGATTCTTTTTTATCTTCAGTGGCACAAAGCTTCGGAAATGAATGTATTGGTCTTTCCACGTTGCCTTTCTATGCACGGAATGCTGCACTGAACCATCTGATCGACGGGTAATGGAAACATCTAGAAACGGCAATTTGTTGGTACACTCCATTTGTAAATTAAATGTTATTTTGGGATGCTCATTGTTGAACCTGTTTATTAGTTCCGTTGTATTCAATATTGCACCGATCACACAATAAATATCATCTACGTACCGTGTGTATAGTACACAGCCTTTGATGGATGATTGTAATTGAGTGTTTTCAAGCTTCGTCATGTATAAATCCGCGAAAAACGGTCCCAGCGGAGACCCCATGGCTACGCCATTCTTTTGTCGACAGATCTCATCCTTAAACAATAACTAAACGTTATACGTGCAGAAATAAAGTAGTTGTTTAAGGTCATCCACAGGGAGGCCGAGCTCTACATTATTGGTTTGTGAATAACTGCACAGGTATTCAATCTTTTCGCCGATAGGAACGTTTGTGAATAAAGAGCTGACGTCCAGCGAGAGCACTGTTCAATCGACCAAGTTTGTCACGAATTTTATCCACAAAAGTAAATGTATCTGTGACACAGTGTTTTTCCACACCAACTCGAACGGATTCTAACAACTTGGCCAACCACTTTGCCAAGGCATGATATGGTGAGTTGCACATACCTAAAATCGGTCGTAATGGCACTCCATCTTTGTGTACTTTTGGCAATCCATACAACCTCGGAATAACAGTCCCGGTTGACCTAATACGTTCGAAAAGGGATGCATCAATGACTCCTCTCTGCTTTAAGCATCGCAAAATCTTGGAAAACACCTCTTCTATTTCAGCCGTCTTATCCTTTTCCGTCATTTTGGTGGATTTCGACCGATCACCCGATACGGTATTCATCTTGTCTATGTAGTCCGTTCGATTTAGCAGCACGATCCCCGTCCCTCTATCCGGTCTGGATAGTATATCTTCTTTATTTTTCTGAAGTTCTCGTAATCGTCTGATATGTTCTGCAGTTAATAATTCATTTGTATTTAGCTTGACATTCTGATGCTGGTAGCAAGCATTTACTAAGGTAGAACTGAGCCGTTCCAACTCCAATGATGAAGAAGGAACCAGGTCAAAAAGTTGCGCATATAAGTTTTCAAACTCCACCTCCATATCCAATCTCCTATCCTATCTCCTATTCGGACAACAAAACTTTGGTCCCAGAAATAACACTTCTAACAGCATTTTGTCCAAATTTATGCTTGATAGATTGTGAGCATAGTGTTCCGGATTGGTAGGGAACTCACTCACCGGCTTGGTAAGATTAAGTCACAGATGCAACGTGTCTCGGCTTTGTTCCACCTGTTTGGAAACAATAGACTGCGCATAATCCTCAAATTGTTGTCTTTCAGTCGGAGAGAGATCATTCAACACATTCTCAGATGTTACACAATTGCTATTTCAATCCACAAGATGATAATACAGAGTTTTCCGCTCATTGAGAGCTTGGCGTCTTAGTGTCACACTAGCAATGTTCACACGGTTTCTCCTCAAAACTGTCAAAAGAAACCATTTTTTCCCACTCGCTTGAACACGAAACTCTGCCTCATGCTCCATCTGAGAGAGATCGGGGAGTAATCATTCGCACAGACTGGAGTTGCTCCACAAACTGTTGTAGGGCATCGTCAATGGCGTTAAACCCGGTTGGACTACTCAAACGTCTTTTTGTATCGTTTGAGCTGGCTTTGTTTCCCCGTCTGTTGGCCATATATATCCGTCCACACAACGAGTACTCATTTCAGGCCTGGAACCCATGGCTGGAGCGAGATCGGAAGGCACCCGAAAAGCCGCTGAGAACGGCTACCAAGATAGTCAAAGATCCACATTCCAAGACCTATGGCGAAAGATTACAGCTACTGGGGCTATGCTCGTCTCGATATCTTCAAATCAGAGGTGATATGATCTCACTGTATCGGATTTTTCAACAGATCAACCATCCATGTAGATCCCTTTGGTTATATTAACCAATGTCTATCTTTGAGGACACCCACTGAACTTGGTACTCCGAAAGAGCCGTCTCGACTACAGACGCTATTCGTTTGCAGTCAGAGTGTGCAGCACATGGAACTCTCTACCACGTCACGTGGTCTGTGCCCCAACATTAGTATCTTTCAAGCGTCAGCTTGATGATGCTCCAGCAAACATTTTTTCAACGCCGAGCTACATATTATATTCTCCTGCGCTCGTCAAAACCACATTGCCTTACTATTTTACTTACATGGACTAACTGTGATCTTGTGAATCGTGTTCCGAAGCAAAGTGTAAACACCCGCTAGGATTTGCTAAGCGAAGTGTTTGTAAGTTTTTCCCAGGGCAAAAATTTGAATTTAAATTTAACTTTGGTCAGATAATGTGGAAACACATCTCGATGTGTTTTGGAACACGATAAACAAACGGCAACGGTTGCTCTATCGACTGGGCATTTGCGGACATTTGCAAAGATTCTGACTGTAGCACAGTTCGTGTTCACAATGACGTTGACGATGATTCGAGATTTGTTCGTGTAGGATGCAAGCCGGGATTTTGTGTGTACGAGAATCCACCGGACACAAAAACATTGAGAGCACAAATGGAAACAAACAATTGTATTCATTGTTTTCATTATCACGCCAGTACAGGGGAGGATAAATCATACGGGTTGGGAGGATAATATAAAAATGCGAGGAATGAATCCATTTGTGTATGTATGTGGTTTATAATAAATAAATGTCCATTTATGTGCGATGCAAATGGTTGTGATAAGCAACAGAGAGGACTGGACAGCTGTTTCGTTCTTTTTGGGACTGGTCAGCAGTGCGTACTTTTTGTGTCCCTGTCACATGGAACTCTCTACCACGTCACGTGGTCTGTGCCCCAACATTAGTATCTTTCAAGCGTCAGCTTGATGATGCTCCAGCAAACATTTTTTCAACGCCGAGCTACATATTATATTCTCCTGCGCTCGTCAAAACCACATTGCCTTACTATTTTACTTACATGGACTAACTGTGATCTTGTGAATCGTGTTCCGAAGCAAAGTGTAAACACCCGCTAGGATTTGCTAAGCGAAGTGTTTGTAAGTTTTTCCCCAAAACAATAATTCGAGATGATAAATTTTCCGATATCATAGTTTTTGCCTACGTCCTTTGCTTGCTTTTTTCGACGTCCAATAATTGATTTCAGTATCGTATCCAGCAGGAAATTACTCTGTTAGTGATTCTGATTGCGGTAATTTTCCGTTCACTTGTCCTCACGTACGATGCATTTCATCGGCATTTCCGGAATAAATTACTCAATGTCAATGAATTCCTCCGTAGCCGTTGTACTTACCTATGTTACCTATGATAAAACTAAAAACTCCAACTGTTCTCCGGATACCTTTATTTGATGGCATAATTTGAAAATAAATGACATTCGCTGCTTAGTCATTCTGAATGCAATTTTGTTTGTGGTAAATAAAATAAACTGACGACAGGTATCAACAGTTCGACAGTACAATTTTGAATTGTTCACAACGGTCGTTTGTTTTGCAACAACAACATCCTGTCATAGGATTTCAATATCGGTACCGGGTTCTTCCATGCCTCTGTTCACGTGCACAATTTTCACAGTATTTCCGCCTCCCCCGGACGAGTAACATCGCTTTCGACAGCAGCACCCGGAACCCCCCATGGACATCATCGGATTCATCATCATCGAATTCATCATCATCGGATTCATCATCATCGGATTCATCATCATCGGATTCATCATCATCGGATTCATCAGGCCGGCACCCAACCCGGTGAGGGCGGAACCGAAAAAACTGGAAAGTTTGTTTTTCGCCCCGGATAAGAATGAGGCCACTTTGGAAAGAGCACGCTTTTCGCGTTCCGGCTGGTCGGGCAATGAGTTCTTGCCAGATTGATTGACCGTTGTTTGGATAACTGGTGTAGAGAAGCAGATAGAAAAAGGCATAATCCATATCCACAGAAGTCGCATCTTACATAACAAACGCTTGCTTACTTTATGAACGAGTTTTCTATTCAGCCGGGCTTCACTCAGTATGTCGATCATAGCATTTGCATTGGTCGATTAAAGAACTCACTGTGCGGATTGACGTAATTGGTTGTGCTCTAAAATTTCACGCGGCCTGTTTGCATCCATTTCGAATCGATACAGTGTTGGCGGTGTCGAGAACTTGAATTATCCAACCAATGGTGTTACTTTGCCATGTGTTAAACGTGACAGTAAAGAATACAGTCGAAATGACGATTTATGTGGCGGAATCAGAACAATAGTTTTTGTATTTAAAATGCCCGCGTTTTCCGCACGAACAGAAGCACAGGTTTAAAACATCTTCACTGTAATATTCATCTCTGGAAACTTAAAGAAGTTCTAAACCATAAAGTAANCGGGCGGGCAGAAACACGGTGTAATACAACGATGTATCTGAATAACTATCCACGAATTTGCGATGCCTCATGTGGATGAGTTTAATTTGAGAACGTGAGAGTCAAAACGGTTTGAGAGTAACCTTTTTCCGATTCGTTTACAGTCCTTTCATTTAGTCGACTTTTGGGGTTCAATTTTACCACCCTCTCTAGCCTGTTTTTTGCTGAAGTGACAAAGACAGTCAGCAAGATTGAAAGCCGCTTCCACAAACGGAACACGACGGCTGTATGTGGCATCGGTACAATTACTTACGACAAACTAGAAGCTATCGACTAACTCTTATGTAGATTTTGCACATGGACTACTGTTCTTAGCTGAAATTTGTCACTCGAACATACGACGGGTTTATATATGCTGATCCGTGTCAAATTAGCCAGTGGAGTGCAACCGGTGACCATAAAGCCTGCGAACAAGTGAATACATACAGAGGAAAGTGAACTGCAAGTCCGTACACGCACACATATTGAGAACTGATGACTGAAGTCAAAGACAAAGATTTGTAATTTAAAACTAAGTGTTACATGTACAATATAGAAAATAAATAATTCATGAAAAGATAGGCAATTGACAGTGCATGTTGTTCACGACATCATGAACTGTCTTGTCGTCCGAAGCTCCGGTAAAGTATCTAAAATAATATCAATCAATACAGCAAATATTGATTGCAATGCGTGATATTTTCTGTGCCCCAAAACAAAATCCTCGTTGATGAGCCTTAATTGCAAAACTATAGAACAAACCTAAAATACACACTGACAACAAGTCGTGAACTGGTAATCACCGTTTTGTCAAAATTGAAGTAATTTTTTTCAAATTAACATCAGTCTCCGGGTCTAATTTCCAGTCTTGTGGGGTTAGGATCGCTTAATCCCAGTGTTGAGAAAGAAGCAAACAAAATTTAGTGAGAGTCTGGTCAGCAACACCGTTTGCAAGGTATGAGATCGAGGCCGACAAGGAGGGCACAAACGTGGTATGTTAAGGATTCTATTTGTAAGTTTATCGTATTCACCTGTTTTTGCATGCAAGAACACCGCTGCTCTACACAGAGCCAAAGGTGACGCAGAGCTGTATGAGGAAGGAATGCTTCAGTTCGAAGAACCTAGATGGTAACTAATGCGTCGGGAATTCCACTACCAATAAAACGAAAAAGCAAGAGAATTATCTTCATTGGGGTTTGTAAAACCCGCACAGTTACCACGTCGAATTCCAAACAATCTTTCTGTGGTGAACTTTCCATAACATGCAGATCATGTCACCCAAATGGACTTAAACGATTACAACCACATGGATTCATTTGCGCTGAAACAGTATGAGTCATACCCCATATAATAACAAGTAATTAGTACTGATCAGTGTCGTGGGCGTGGTCAAGTGAGACTAACCTGTGTACAATCCATCCGGATGTTGTGTGACTTCTTTCATGAATGTTAAACTGTTGAACGACTTTTGTATTACATAAAAACAGTAGACTGTTTCCCCAGAGTAATCCGATTCACGATTATTTTCAATATATCAGGTCAAGCGATGTTAGGAGTGTGTCGAAAAATACATGCATCATGTGTTGCGCTTTCGTGTGAATGTTATAATGTTAATATCACTGCGATTTTACAATCAAAATCGGAGAAACGTCGGCGAAATCAATTTTCTACGTGTTATTTACATTAGACCATTCGCAACGGTTCTATTGCTTGCCTCTTCTT